TCTGTCTGTCTGTCTGTCTGTCTGTCTGTCTGTCTGTCTGTCTCTGCCTGTCCCTCTCTCAGCTCTCAGACTCTGGCCGGTCTTGAGTTCGTCCAGCAGTGTTTGAAGTTCGACTGGGACGTGCGACTGTTTCTCACCAAGAGATCGTCCATCAACACGGAGCTGTCTCGCACGGTCCGAACACACACACACACACACACACACACACACACAGTGATTGATGATGAAATGTTTTGCTGAGTTTCTGTCTCAGTTCCTTCAGTCTGGCCGTGATGATGTCATCATGATGATGATGTTTCACACTGTTTCAAAGAAACATGCTGTTCAACCTGGAAACTGTAGGAGAACAGTGGACATGGCACATGTCACGTGGTGCTGATAGCAGGGAACCATTTTCCATCTGGTGCAGGACAGAGGCGGCGTTGATAAGACAGAAATACAGGTGACTTTAATTTGACCTTCTAATGACAGAAAGAAGACGATGAGACGGTGTCCACCATGAACCACAGCATCCTGCTGCAGGAGCGTCCAATCAAACAGACCGTCACTAGGTGAGGGGGCGGAGCCTCTACTGTGATTCGATTTGATGATGCTCAGCAGAGTTCATATGTTGTAACAGAAACAAGTTAATGTCTGTGTCTGTGTGTGTCTGTGACCAGAGAGGCTCTGACTCTGCTGCTGGACACTTTCCATAATGAAGCTGAGTCCTTCCTGCTGTCAGAGGTAACACACACACACACACGCACACACACACACACACAGCAGGTTCAGCAGGACGTCTGTCAGACACGAGGGGACAGCCAGTCTGTCCTGATGTTGAGACACAGTGTGTAAAGACAGGCGGAGTCCCTCAGGGGACCGTTTAAGGCCCAGCACTGTGTTTTATCTGATAAATGCTGAAACGACGCTCACATCATTTGTCATGTGGAGAATGTTCTGCAGATTTTTGCAGGTGTTCACATCAGAAATGAGAAAATTAAAAATGATCACTGACTTTAAACAAAGATTCATGTGTGTGTAAAATAAACTCTTCATCACACAGACGAGGAAACACGACATGAAGATGAATCTCTGGGTTTGATACTGGAACATGAAACCTGCTGTAAAATATGTGTGAGCGCCACTGGATCATAAAACTCTCTGTTGACGTGTGTGTGACGTCTGTGTGACGTGTGTGTGACGTCTGTGTGACATGTGTGTGACGTGTGTGTGACGTGTGTGTGTCTGATTCACTGTGTGTGAAACTCATCACACACTCATCATGAAGACGGACAGGAAGTCGCCTGTTTCTGCTTCAGTTTAAAACACAAGTCATCTATAAAGCACAAATGATTCACCTCCAGGCAGAGTGGGGCAGTAAAATGTTTTATTCAGATTATATTATTATTATTATTTATTTTTTTATTTGTTTATTTAACAGGGACAGTGCGCAGCTCTCAGCCATACCAGAGTTAGCTACTAGCTAATTTTCATTTTTATTCAGATTACATTATTCAGATTACATTATTCAGATTACATTATTCAGATTATATTACTCTAACAGGCTATCTAAAGTTTCATTGGTATCTTTAATAGTAATATTTTATATGGTAAGACTAATGGATACCTGGTGCTGCGATACGATTATACCCCCAAAATAATATCGTGATGCTGTATGGATTTTTCCCAGAGTTCTGTGTGACAGACTGAGTCACTGGTGAAGCAACATTTCATCCACCAGCTCCATCACGTCTCTGTGTCTGCAGCTGTCCACCAGTAGATTCCAGTGTAGAGCTACAGCCGACCTCCGCGGCCGAGGAGGGTTCAGCTTTGGTGCGGTGTATTTCCTGGAGCTTGGGCGTGTTTTTCACTGTGGAAACAGTTTTAGTGAGACATCCTGCAGCAGCAGAGTTCCTGTCTCATAGTACAGATGTCCTCACTGTCCAGGTCCAACACTTTGTCCCGTCAAAGACAGACGCACCAGGACACAAGTCAGATCATTTATCTTGACTAAATCACGTGTCCTCTTCTTCGTCTTGTCTCCTGTTTGTCTCTGAAGGTGGAGCTGCCGCTGCACGTGGAGCGTCTCGTCCAATCGGTGAAGGCGCTCTGCAGCTCGTTAGCCGCCGTGGAGTCGCCTGATGTGACTGCCGCCCTCAACCAGCTCCCAGCATGCCCCTGTCGTCTGCAGCCCAAAGTCCTCAAGGTGAGAGACGCCGACAGTGTCCTCCAAATATCACGTTACGTTCTTTATTCTCCCAAAGAGACGGACGGACGGACGGACGTTGATGAAAACATTACACCTTGTTAACGCCTTGTCTTCTTCTTTCCTGTCTCTGTCTGTCTGTCTGTCTGTCTGTCTGTCTGTCCTCCCAGGATGCTTCAGTGCTGGCTGTCAGAGAGAACAGAGGTACGTACCAACGTCCTCAAAACAAACAACAACAACAGAGTATTTCTTCACTGTTACTTTTACGTCTCTGAGTGAGCACCGCCCTCGCCACCATTGTGTTTCTCTGTGACATCAAATATTCCTGAGGGTTGTTTTTCATATGTAGATGAATGAACAGGTGTGATGAGAATATCTGCTCTGAAGTTAAAGTCTGAGGCGAGTCACGTGTCTGTTTGATGATGTCACTGATGGGTCCTAACTTGGCGCTGTGCGATGGTCTCACAGAGAAAGTGGTGGAGAAGTTGACGGCGGCCATCTTGGATCTGGTGGAGCTGTACTGCAGCACGTTCAATGCCAACTTCCACCCGACGGCTCAGAGTCGCTGCTGCACGGCGCCGGTGCAGGAGGCCGGCCTCGTCACCAACGTGCTCTCCTTCAATGTGTACGCCGCCCACCGCATCCCCATCACCTGGGCCGCCAGGTATGTCAAAACAAACACAGACAGAAACACGCCCGACATCATCGACCCCAGACTGTCCTCAGAGTGTCTTCAGACTGTCCTCAGACTGTCCCCAGACTGTCCTCAGAGTGTCCTCAGGCAGCGGTTGGACAGGACTGTGTTAATGAGACAGATGAGCTGATGAACAGCTGATTGCTGCAGCTGTCAGTGATGATGATGTGCAGAGCAGCCATGTTGGATTTGGAGGTTGGGGTCGGTGGTGAGGACCAGTCCTGACTGGGAACACTGCTGCCCCTCCCCCACTAACACACAAAGGACTGACTGCCTGGGAACCAGAGCTGACCTTTGACCTATGAGAGGAGGCAGGACGGGCCTCCATCACACGCCATCTGTGTGTGTGTGTTTCAAACACACACACACACACACTCAAAGGACAGTGGAGGTTGAAGGGCTGTCAGTGACATTGCAAAGGACATGGTAAACAAATAAGCCTGAAACATAAGAGAGATAAATAATAATAAATAATAAGCAGCCAGGGGAAAAGAGACTGTTTGGTGTGTGTAGATGGAGTGTAAAACTGCAGCAATGCAAAGTCCAGTTCATCGTTCTAAACTAAACACGGAAAGAAAGAAAGAGTGTGTGTGTGTGTGTGTGTGTGTGTGTGTGTGTGTGTGTGTTCCTTTTCAGATGTTTTCAGATGACATGTAACACAACAGCGTCGGCCTCTAGTGTGACATATAACATACGTGTCAGCACCACTTTATAAACAATAACAATGACATCACATGTCAATAACATTCATTTAACGTCCCTGTTATATGGCGGCTGATCTTGTGCTCTGCTCGGAGGGTAAGGAGCTTCTGTTAGCCGCTAACTGCTAACAGCTGCTGTTCTTCTTTGAGTTAGCTGCTAACAGCTACTGTTCTTCTTCTTTGAGTTAGCCGCTAACAGCTACTGTTCTTCTTTGAGTTAGCTGCTAATTGCTAACAGCAGCTGTTCTTCTTTGAGTTAGCCGCTAACTGCTAACAGCACCTGTTCTTCTTTAAGTTAGCCGCTAACTGCTAACAGCTGCTGTTCTTCTTTGAGTTAGCCGCTAACTGCTAACAGCTGCTGTTCTTCTTTGAGTTAGCCGCTAACAGCTACTGTTCTTCTTCTTTGAGTTAGCCGCTAACTGCTAACAGCACCTGTTCTTCTTTGAGTTAGCCGCTAACTGCTAACAGCACCTGTTCTTCTTTGAGTAGCTGCTAACTGCTAAGGGTTAATTTTGACAGCTATGGTAGATTTAGTCTTGAGATGAAATGCTTAAGCCCAGCATACACTGTACGATTTTTGACCGGATTTGACCCGATTTTTGAGACACAAGACCTGCCGACGCTCAGGCCGGATTTCCGCTTCGTCGTGCGTCTTTTGCCGTGCAGTGTACGGGGGGGGGGGGGGGGGGGGGGGGGGGGGGGGGGGGGGGGGGGGGGGGGGGGGCGAGGGCTGATCATCTGTTCCAGAACCGCAGTCGGACGGTCGGATGAATTTCTGGCATGTCAGAAATTTTGGTCGGCCGGCACAGACATTCGCACAGTTGAAGCAGAGCCACGAGCCGATTCGCCACTGTCTGTGCATTTATCCCTCACTGCGCCTGCGTGAAGACATAGATCACCATGGCGACGCGTCGGTGGACTGTAAATATGGAGGCCAGGTTGGTTGAGCTGTGGCAACAGTATGAGTGCCTGTTAGACGTATCTTCTTCTTCCACCTACCACGACCACTATCAACGAGACAAACGCTGGCTGCTAAGTTTTTTCTGCTCTCATTTTCAAGCAAGCGCAACAAACATACAAGCTAGCGCGCTAGACGAGGTACAACACACACACACACACACACACACACACACAGACAGAGGGTGCACCCGGCTGTAGCTGACTTACCTCCAACTCTTGTAAAATGGACAAACCATACTGTCCACGTCTCTCAAGCCATCTGCGAGTCCATATGCGCTGACGCCTCTTCTTTTTCGACGTATCGGCACACAATATAGCGCAAATCATCAAAGCAAACCGCTTGTCCTGCTTCGTTGGCAACAACGGCGCTTCCAGAACAAATCGGAACTTTCAAATGTATCTTTATTGACAGCTGTCAACGGGCAGGAGAGTCAGCAGGGGCCGACGAGCTGTTTTCACCCGTACAGTGTGAGCTCTCTGATCGTGCTTGATGATCAGAACGTACAGTGTGAGCACATAAATCGTGAGCTTTGGCCGCACGTCGCAGACGATTTACTCGTACAGTGTGAGCTGGTATTAACAACAAGATTTTAAAAATCGTACAGTGTATGCTGGGCTTTAGTTTTAGTCATTTTTAAAATATATACACAAATATACAGAAATTCAAAACAGATGATGTCACAGTGAAAGCTGCTGTGCCCTGCAGCTGCTCACACCAGTCCTTATTTAAGCCACTCCCCCCTCTCCTTCTCTCCCAGAATCCTCTGCTCTGTCCCCTGAATGAAACACCTACTGTCCAGGATTTAGTTAGTGACTCACAGGAAGTCACAGCTGATGACCAGCAGAATATTTGTAACAGGACGACAGAAAACTGCTCTGGAAGCAGATTCATTGTGGTCTGACATCATAATGACATCATGTCCCTGTCCTGCTCTCTGATTGGTCAGTTACGAGGGTTTCTTCCTGTCCTGCTCTCTGACTCATGGAGGGGCGGAGCTCTGCGCGCCGCAGCACACCAGCAAACAGTCGGTCAGCAAATACCTGTTCCACCTGGTGGTGTGGGACCAGAGGTACGTCCCCCCCCCCCATCCCCCTGTCTGTCCTCCAGTCTGTCTGTCCCCCCCACCCCGTCTGTCTCCCTCTGTCTGTCCCTCGTCTGTGGGACCAGCAGAATTAAATAAAGTTCTTTCATAAATAGGACACTGTTGTCCCCTATCTCATCTGTCTCCCACCTGTCTCTGTCTCCTCCCCCTTCTGTCTCTGTCTCCCACCTGTCTCTGTCTCCTCCCCCTTCTGTCTCTGTCTCCCACCTGTCTCTGTCTCCCACCTGTCTCTGTCTCCTCCCCCTTCTGTCTCTGTCTCCCACCTGTCTCTGTCTCTGTCTACCCCTTCTGTCTCTGTCTCCCACCTGTCTCTGTCTCCTCCCTCTTCTGTCTCTGTCTCCCACCTGTCTCTGTCTCCTCCCTCTTCTGTCTCTGTCTCCCCCTTCTGTCTCTGTCTCCCACCTGTCTCTGTCTCCCACCTGTCTCTGTCTCTGTCTCCCACCTGTCTCTGTCTCCTCCCCCTTCTGTCTCTGTCTCCCACCTGTCTCTGTCTCTGTCTCTGTCTCCCCCTTCTGTCTCTGTCTCCCACCTGTCTCTGTCTCCTCCCCCTTCTGTCTCTGTCTCCCACCTGTCTCTGTCTCCTCCCCTTTCTGTCTCTGTCTCCCACCTGTCTCTGTCTCCCTCTTCTGTCTCTGTCTCCCACCTGTCTCTGTCTCCCACCTGTCTCTGTCTCCCTCTTCTGTCTCTGTCTCCCACCTGTCTCTGTCTCCCACCTGTCTCTGTCTCCCCCTTCTGTCTCTGTCTCCCACTTGTCTCTGTCTCCTCTCCCTTCTGTCTCTGTCTCCCACCTGTCTCTGTCTCTGTCTCCCTCTTCTGTCTCTGTCTCCCACCTGTCTCTGTCTCCCACCTGTCTCTGTCTCCCTCTTCTGTCTCTGTCTCCCACCTGTCTCTGTCTCCCACCTGTCTCTGTCTCCCCCTTCTGTCTCTGTCTCCCACTTGTCTCTGTCTCCTCTCCCTTCTGTCTCTGTCTCCCACCTGTCTCTGTCTCTGTCTACCCCTTCTGTCTCTGTCTCCCACCTGTCTCTGTCTCTGTCTACCCCTTCTGTCTCTGTCTCCCACCTGTCTCTGTCTCCTCCCCCTTCTGTCTCTGTCTCTGCAGGGTGTGTTTCCCGGTGCAGATCAACCAGCTGCCCAGAGAGTCTCAGCTGACGGTGACTCTGTACGCCAGCTCTCTGCCGCCGCCTGGAGGTGCCGAGGAGAAGGGGAAGCAGCGGCGAAGCATCGAGGCGCTCGGCTGGGTCACCATGCCGCTCTTCAACTTCAGACAGTGAGTGACATGACCCCATGACATCACATGACATCACTGCTGGGTGTGATGTGATGTCACTTCCTCCAAAGCAGGAAGTGTGTGTCTCAACTGACAGGATGTGTGTGTGTTGTCCTGACAGCGTCCTGACATGCGGCAGGAAGTTACTCGGTCTGTGGCCTTCAGCTCCGGGGAGGAGCATGAACGCCCGCACGAGCTCGCCGAACTTCAGCCAACCAGACAGCGTGATCCTGCAGGTGAGATGTCTGTCCTCTCATCATCACCATGTGGAGACATGTCCACACCTCACACCTGTCCTCTCACCTCACACCTGTCCCCTCACCTCACACCTGTCCTCTCACCTCACACCTGTCCCCTCACCTCACACCTGTCCCCTCACCTCACACCTGTCCTCTCACCTCACACCTGTGTGCTCACCTCACACATGTTCTCTCACCTCACACCTGTCCTCTCACCTCACACCTGTGTGCTCACCTCACACATGTTCTCTCACCTCACACCTGTCCTCTCACCTCACACCTGTGTGCTCACCTCACACATGTTCTCTCACCTCACACCTGTCCTCTCACCTCACACCTGTGTGCTCACCTCACACATGTTCTCTCACCTCACACCTGTCCTCTCACCTCACACCTGTGTGCTCACCTCACACATGTTCTCTCACCTCACACCTGTCCTCTCACCTCACACCTGTGTGCTCACCTCACACATGTTCTCTCACCTCACACCTGTCCTCTCACCTCACACCTGTGTGCTCACCTCACACATGTTCTCTCACCTCACACCTGTCCTCTCACCTCACACCTGTGTGCTCACCTCACACATGTTCTCTCACCTCACACCTGTCCTCTCACCTCACACCTGTGTGCTCACCTCACACATGTTCTCTCACCTCACACCTGTCCTCTCACCTCACACCTGTGTGCTCACCTCACACCTGTGTGCTCACCTCACACCTGTCCTCTCACCTCACACCTGTGTGCTCACCTTACACCTGTCCTCTCACCTCACACCTGTGTGCTCACCTCACACATGTCCTCTCATCTCACACCTCTGTGCTCACCTCACACCTGTGTGCTCACCTCACACCTGTTCTCTCACCTCACACCTGTCCTCTCACCTCACACCTGTCCTCCCACCTCACACCTGTGTGCTCACCTCACACCTGTCCTCTCACCTCACACCTGTCCTCTCACCTCACACCTGTGTGCTCACCTCACACATGTTCTCTCACCTCACACCTGTCCTCTCACCTCACACCTGTGTGCTCACCTCACACCTGTCCTCTCACCTCACACCTGTCTGCTCACCTCACACCTGTCCTCTCACCTCACACCTGTGTGCTCACCTCACACCTGTCCTCTCACCTCACACCTGTCCGCTCACCTCACACCTGTCCTCTCACCTCACACCTGTGTGCTCACCTCACACCTGTCCTCTCACCTCACACCTGTCCTCTCACCTCACACCTGTGTGCTCACCTCACACCTGTCCTCTCACCTCACACCTGTCCTCTCACCTCACACCTGTGCGCTCACCTCACACCTGTCCTCTCACCTCACACCTGTCCTCTCACCTCACACCTGTGTGCTCACCTCACACCTGTCCTCTCACCTCACACCTGTCCTCTCACCTCACACCTGTGTGCTCACCTCACACCTGTCCTCTCACCTCACACCTGTCCTCTCACCTCACACCTGTCCGCTCACCTCACACCTGTCCTCTCACCTCACACCTGTGTGCTCACCTCACACCTGTCCTCTCACCTCACACCTGTCCTCTCACCTCACACCTGTCCGCTCACCTCACACCTGTCCTCTCACCTCACACCTGTCCTCTCACCTCACACCTGTCCGCTCACCTCACACCTGTCCTCTCACCTCACACCTGTCCTCTCACCTCACACCTGTCCGCTCACCTCACACCTGTCCTCTCACCTCACACCTGTGTGCTCACCTCACACCTGTCCTCTCACCTCACACCTGTCCTCTCACCTCACACCTGTCCGCTCACCTCACACCTGTCCTCTCACCTCACACCTGTGTGCTCACCTCACACCTGTCCTCTCACCTCACACCTGTCCTCTCACCTCACACCTGTCCTCTCACCTCACACCTGTCCTCTCACCTCACACCTGTCCTCTCACCTCACACCTGTCCTCTCACCTCACACCTGTCCTCTCACCTCACACCTGTCCTCTCACCTCACACCTGTCCTCTCACCTCACACCTGTCCTCTCACCTCACACCTGTCCTCTCACCTCACACCTGTCCTCTCACCTCACACCTGTCCTCTCACCTCACACCTGTCCTCTCACCTCACACCTGTCCTCTCACCTCACACCTGTCCTCTCACCTCACACCTGTCCTCTCACCTCACACCTGTGTGCTCACCTCACACCTGTCCTCTCACCTCACACCTGTCCTCTCACCTCACACCTGTCCTCTCACCTCACACCTGTGTGCTCACCTCACACCTGTCCTCTCACCTCACACCTGTGTGCTCACCTCACACCTGTCCTCTCACCTCACACCTGTGTGCTCACTTCACACCTGTCCCCTCACCTCACACCTGTCCTCTCTCCTCACACCTGTGTGCTCACCTCACACCTGTCCTCTCACCTCACACCTGTGTGCTCACTTCACACCTGTCCCCTCACCTCACACCACAGGGGCGGGGCAATGATGACACAGATACAGGATTATATATATCTGTACCAACAAAAGTGACGTGCGTACAACAATAAAATGTCTCTGTCTGTCCCCCTGTCTGTGTCTCTGTTTGTCTCTCTGTCTCTGTCTCTGTCCCTGTCTGTCCCTAAGGTGGACTTTCCCACGTCATCTTTCGAGGTGCGGTTCAGTACTCCTCCTCCGGCAGACTTCTGTCCTCAGTATGACTTCTCCAGACTGGACACCATCAGTCAGATCCAGCTGCAGGACGTCCTCCATAAGAAGGCTGTCTTCTGGTCGGAAACACTCACACACACACACACACACACACACAGTCTCTGGGATAAAAAGACATTTAGAGATGAGGACAGATGACGGGAGGACACAGTTAATATAAAATGTTGTTACTATAGAAATGTGGGACAGGCTGTCCCCCTCGACTCCTGTCCTCAGTGGGATGTCTCTGTCCTGACTGTCAGGTGTTGACAGTGTTTCTGTGCGTCTGTCCCTTCAGGTTGACAACAGAGGACAGACGTCTCCTGTGGGAGAAGAAGGCCTTCTGTCAGTCAGAGAGTGCAGCTCTGCCTCTGGTCCTGGCCAGCGCCCCCTGCTGGGAGTGGGCCTGCCTGCCGGACATCTACGCCCTGCTGAGACAGTGGGCTTGCCCCGGACACCTGGACGCCCTGGGACTCCTCCACGCCTCGTACGTCCCCCGCTGTCTCACCACTCTCACCTGAGTGACATCAGTCTGATAACCTGAGTGACATCATCATCGCCCCGTGTGTGTGTGTGTGTGTGTGTGTGTGCGTGTGTTCCAGGTTCCCAGACCAGGAGCTGAGGAGGACGGCTGTCCAGTGGATGGACTCCATCTCAGACCCAGAGCTGCTGGACTTCCTGCCTCAGCTCGTCCAGGTCACATGATGACTGGTGTTGTTACACATCATGTTATACATACACACACCAGCAGGTGGAGACGTGACACACTGCTCAGTGTCTGTAATATTCATTCATTCATCACTTCATTTAAAAGCTGATACTGATGACGTGCTGATGTCACAGTACATCTTTGGTTCTGATAGAAAACAAAACGATCAAACTGACGTTCAGTTAGGACACGACGTCACAACAAACAGAACAAAAACAGGTACAGTCGTTCCTTCAGGTGAGGACGGAGACTGTCGTCACAACAAACAAACACAAAACACTTCCTCAGTTTCTCCCCAACCCTGAGTATATAACTCATACTGTGTGTGTGTGTGTGTGTGTGTGTGTCTCAGGCTCTGAAGTACGAGTGTTACCTGGACAGTTCTCTGGTTCGATTCCTCCTACGGAGAGCCATTGGGGACATTCGCATCGCTCACTACCTCTTCTGGTCAGCTGATCACAAACTATCATTTGTTTATTTAAGGAGCGTCTGTGAGTCTGACCACAGCCAGAGTTAGGATCAGTCAAACCAGGTTTAATCCCGACTGTGTCCGTCCCTCAGGCTGCTGAAGGACAACCTGCAGGACAGTCAGTTCAGCGCTCGGTATCAGCACCTTCTGGCCGCTCTGCTCTGCTGCGTCGGTCGAGGTCTTCGTGAAGAGTTCGACCGTCAGTGCTGGCTCGTCTCTATCCTCGCCAAGGTGGCTCACAAAGTGCGAGACACCTCGCCGTCCAGCAGACAGGTGGGGACAACAGGAAATCTGTATTTGTTATAGAAGACATAAACTGTCCTGACAAGTCACATTTGGTCCCTGAAAATAAATCTCAGATATTTTTGTTTCTATGTTTTGTTTTTATATATTGCAGAAATTGATGTTTTTAGTTATCAAATAATCGATTGAGCATCTGGTCTCTGAATGACAGTGCTGATAAATGTCAGTCGAGTCTTCAGATGTCCAACAGTCTGAAAACACAACGAGCTTCAGTTACTGACGTTTCAAACTGAAACTAAAGAAAAAGATTCATAATTAATCCATTATCAAAATATTTATAGGCATGCTCTCCCTCATATACAGTATTTTTTTATATATATATATATATA